AGTAAATATAGAGAAATTGCTTTTCTCCTCACTCTCTCATCGTAGAATACGCCCTTATGACAACTACCGAGAAATTACAGCGTTGTTTTTTTCGAAACTGATGCGTCTGCGACACCTGTACTAGCCACACAGTCCAAATCGATCCCAATTATGAGTTAAATTTTTATTAGAGAAATATATTCTGAAGCTGTTTTTTTTTCTTGTTTAATTTTAATTCTTTCTAATAAATAATTCGAATTTAGTAGTAAACATATTCTGTACTTGTTTATAGCTGGAACGAAAAGTCGTAAGAATTACCAACGGTAAATCGTTGCTAGTGTGAACACATGTGCGATCTGAGGAAAGTTACAGAATAGTAGTCTTCGTCCCTTAAGCTTAAGTTGCTAGGCAAGTTTGTAGGAAAACCATTTCTTGTACTAATTCATAGAAACAAGTATTCTTATTTCATTTTTCATTGCTCTGAATCTAGCTTGGACAATGTTTTATTGTGTGAAAGCAGGAAGCCATTACACCTTTGTTTTCTTTTCATTTAAGAATACCGTCAGTGGAGCAATCGTGTAAATGTAGCTTACAAAATGTGTATTACATGTGTACTCTTTTGGTTTTTGTTCTTTTCTCATCGACTTATTTTATATAGTACTAAAAATGGAATATGTGCTCCTCGATCAGGCATTTATGCCACTTTTGATAGTTACGTTGAAGCAATTTTTACAGCAATGGGTACACCAATAGTGATGATTGTACTTGCTTTTTTATTGATACGAAGTGTCCGAAGCGTTATTCAACGACGCATTGCGCCTGATAACAATGGATCACTAGTTATCATTGTACAAGGATCAATTCTTCAACAGATCGATTCCCGACTTACATTGATGCTCATATTACAATTAACTATTGCTATAATGACACGCATCCCATATGCAGTTCAAGTTATCTATACAAATATAACTCAAAATTGGTCAAAGTCAGCTTTACAAATTGCTATAGAAAATGCCATAGTGGAATTCATTCATTTATTGTCATACACATTTTTTACTTCTAGTTTCTACGTATCGTTTATTTCAAATAGTGCTTTTCGTCGACAATTTAAAAAATTCTTTCGAAAATCACAGCATGATGATCTTAGAATTCCTACAAATTATACTCGCCATATTAATAAAATTAATAACATACAACTGACATAAAAACATCGTTCATGTCGAACATTTATTTTTTAAATTGAAGAAAATTTAATTAGTTGTAAGTGCGGACAGATTTTGTGAAATAAAGTGATTTTAGAATGCAAAACTTACTATAGTATCCAATGCTGGATATTTCGATCAATTTTTTATTTCAATAATATATGTTTTAGATGAATTTTGATTTCCATTCCTCTCATGCCGTTCATATCGCTTGAAAACCGACGGTTAGCCACAGTTCTCCAACTAATGATTTTTTATGTATCACAATAGGTGAATATTTTTTAAATCTTTTAGAATTGGTTGAATTCGGTCGAAATTGCGGTTCCTTTTACTTATCAGCACGCTGAAGCCACCATTACCAGCCACCTCCTGATCTATACTAGTACGCGGAGGCGACCGCATCATAATGATATCAGCTGTTAAACTCTGTTGCAACGAACTGTTTCAAAAGAATGCACATCAAGCACTAAAAGGATAAGAGAAGAAATTTAATCATTGAACGACTCATTCTTTCTGGAATGAAAGTTATAATTGAAATGTAGATCAATGCTGATCACAAGTCATCCTAATAACAAATCAGTGTAACTTAAAACTGTATGAATTTGATTGTGATGATAATAGTATTTCCATTCACTTTGGACTTGAATTTGCGCAAATTTAACGAGAAAGCTCGTGCATTTAACAAATGACATTGTTTTTCCTATATCTTAAGCGAACTTCCACGTATTTGGATATTATTTTCGACAAAATGTAGCCTATGCTTTATAGTTTATTTCCGTCAAGTATCAGCCCTTTCTTTCATGAACTTGCTGTACTAAATGAAAAGAATAAAAAGGATATCCTTTAGTTAATTCAAAATTGATCATACACTACATACAAAAATCTACGTATATTACACAATAAAAGTCGTGCATTTTACGATTTGAAAGAGAGATATAAATGATTACGATATTCTTATGGTGAAAGTCAGAAAAATTTCGTCGAAACGCTGTACAAAACGTTTTTATTTTGCTCGAGATAAAAAAATACAAGGTTTTTTCCGCCGAGAATAAAATTCTTCATAACCACGAAATAATTACAACAAAACAATTACTAGGCTCATCCTTTCAATTAATTGATTTATGATCAAATTAATCGAAAGAATCGATTCAGTAATTATTTTTTTTGTGATTACTTCTGTTTAAATTATTGCTTAAAATCGTATGGTTATATTCGATTAAAAATCAATTATTTCATGATTATTGTGGAAATGTGTTGTATCTGAATTTATTGTGTAATACACATCGAATTTTGTAGGAATTGTAGGATCAATTTTGAGCGCTACTTTTCACGCAGCTATGTCTTTCCTAATTAAATATTATTTCGTGATAGTTTCAATATTATGTTGCTTTTCTAGCATAGAAATTTTTTTAGTTATCGTTAGACGTGGTTATTGGGCAGTCTGCTGCCTTGGCCTAGTTTTAGGCACAGTGCACGTCTCTGTTCTGAACCCACTAACGGATCCTATATGATACGATCGAATGCGAGTCGGATTGATTGACCTGGGTATCCACTTAGTTTATGCGTTTGGGTTTTTATTAAAGATGGCGCTACCTAGAAAAATCGACGATATGGGTGGCCATGTGCGCCACAGGCACATGATTCTCTATACAGTTGCACGTTGTTATGATTCATTAGTTCTGATATACGTCTGACGTATGACTTGGCCAGTGCGCATGAACAATACGCAATGATGTTTTTATCTCAGCATTAATTAGATCCTAAACTCAGTCATGTGGCTGTGACAAAAGCACTACTATTGTGTCATGATTATGGTGAAATATAAATTTTAATAATAGTAGCAGTCCAAAGACTTGACCGATTAAATTCGATTTAGTCGACAACATACAACAATTCTAATACACAATAAACAAATTGTTTGGCCCACTGAACGACAGGCGTTTGTCATAACACACTAAACATACAATACAAAACTAATTGAAATTCTCAGATAGGTATAGTAATGGATCGTTAATGCAATTATAATCATATAATAAAACAATATTAGATTTTCTTTTGTCTTCTTGTTCAAAAATCTTTTCAAACAAAAGGAATAAGTCAAACCATAATAAAAAATTGAAATGATGAAAAGACAAAAGAGCTTTTGCACCATTTTAATTTTTCACGAAAAACAAAATTGTGTTTTCAGAGGTTTCCTCTTGATTATTTATTGTGCATCCTGAGATTATTTTATATCTTGTTTTAGGATAAAAATAACAGACTATCTGTACCAGACGCCACAACTGAAAATGGTTCAGTGACAAGATCACCAAATGTTGTTACCACTAATATGTATTTGACACCGGCTTGAGGAAAAGTTGTTCATAGGAATTGAGTATTGTCAGCACCATCAGGATGTGGGTGTGGGTGTGGGTGTGGATGTGGGTGTGGGTGTCGGTGTGGGTGTGGTGCAGCGACTGGGGTTCGGTTTGGATTCGATCACTAAACCCACACCTGCACCCATCCACACCCACACCCATACCCACACATGATAAGGGTTTTTATTGAGACTATTTCCGATGAAAATCCATAGGAATCGGATAAGACGGATCTCGAAAAGTATTTTTGTTTCTGGTGTTTTCAATTCATCTCGAAATCGAGAATCGTATCTGTAGTCAACGTGGAAGAATTCTTCAGAACAGACAGAAATTTCAGACTCATTCGAAAAGAAATTGTTGATCGTAAAATTTGAAATGTATTTTTAGAACATCATCAGCATCCATGGAGTCATGTTTCACATTTCAATTTTACAGGGATTAAGCGGAAAGCTTTGTTTGGGGAATCATATTTGAAAATAGAACGACCTTGAAAGGATAGAATAACATGCAGTGGTTATTATGTGCGTTTTTCTCTGACTATTTAGCAGATAGTCCCGATCTTATCATGGATGGATGCATGACAGAATGAGGCATATAAAAGGAGGAGAACGAATAGAGAGAGAAACAAATGAAAACGATGTGGTCAATAAGCTTCTTATTATCGATGATACTTAGGTAAGTAGGATCTCCCCAATGTTCATAGAATTATATAATCTGGTGGCTGTTTTTTAGTCTTTCAGGTATGTTTTCTTTTCTCTATGCTTTCATCTGCTGCCCGTTGTCTCTTAATTTATTAGATCAAGTTGGAGCTTCCACGATAACAAGTAAGTAATGAAAATGAAGTTTTTTTGATGTGTTGTCTCTTCATCGTCTAGCTCGTCTTTCACTGCCAATGCTCGACGATGGCATTTGTGCGAGTGCCACATGGAACCGGAATGGTATCACTGTAGCTGGAGGAAATGGAAAGGGTCCCGCATTGAACCAACTCAATTACCCCTATGGATTATTTGTGGATGACGATGCTGCAGTTTATGTTGTGGATAGCTTGAACTACCGTATAGTTAAGTGGATGCCTGGAGTATCCAGTGATCGTGTGGTGGCCGGTGGCAACGGGGAAGGCAATCGGAATAACCAGCTAAGTTATGCGACAAAAGTTGTCGTTGACAGGACTGGAACTATGTTTATTTGTGATTCTGATAACAAACGAGTTCAGCGATGGCTGAAAAATGACAACCATGGGCAAACAATTATTGCGAATATCTCATGTATAGGACTGGCGATGGACAACAAAGGATCGTTGTATGTCTCTGACAATGAGAAGTATTGTGTAACAACCGGTGAGCAGGTAGTCGCTGGTGGAAATGGACAAGGATCTGCGTTTAATCAATTCTGGAATCCTGACCATATATTTGTTGATAATGATCAGTCAGTTTTCGTGGTCGATTTTTCAAATGATCGTGTGATGAAATGGTCAATCGGCTCCAAAGAAGGTATTGTCGTAGCTGGTGGGAATGGATGGGGAAATGGCACCAATCAGTTGTCTGCGCCCACTTCAGTGGTTGTTGACCACATGGGTACCGTCTATGTCGCTGATCGAAACAACCATCGAGTCATGCGTTGGCTCAAAGATTCCAAATCTGGCAGCGTCATCATTGGTGGACAAGGATGGGGCAATAGAACAACTCAATTACGCACACCACGTGATTTGGCATTTGACCGTCAAGGAAATTTGTATGTAGCCGATGCAGAAAATTATCGAATTCAAATGTTCACTATTGACAAAAGTTCTTGTGCCAAAGGTACGTGTCAAAAAGATGCTATCAATTGACTGATCGTTGTTTATCTCTATCTTCTTCAAATAGTATCGGCTTAGAGTGAAGCTCATCTTTGCTAAATACAATTAAACGACGAAGAAAGGAGTGAGTTTACCATCGTCTCCATGTCACTTTTTGACTTTCTGGAGATTTTAATAAACTTCGTTGATGATGCTTCATTTCATTATTCATCATTGTTTTGTTCTGTTTCTTCCTATTGCATTCTGTATGAATCAGTTAAACAAATAACTAAATCACCTGAAAAATCACATTTGTCGTTTGTTTATTCAGCAAAGAGTGCAGCATATTCTTCGAAGTTTCATGTCGGAGTACCTGCATGCCTTGAGCAATATGCACTTTCGATGAGAATCCTTTTTCTATAGTGGGCATGTGACGCTACGAGCATCATTATGACTTATGTGCCTTTGGTATATACGAAGGCAAGTGAATGTGGGATGATACACTATGACGTGTGAATGCAGAAGAACCTGGAATTATCCGATCGTACATGGATATAAGATACAAGCATATGTATTTCATTCGCAGTCTGGTACTTCTCTCGGAACACTGACAATCAAGGCACACAGAAGGGCAATGTCGTTCTCTATTCTCTGGCTTTATACAAACTCATCCGATTCGGCTAATAGCCTTCTTGCTAAACTGGGCCATGTACAAACATTCATGCAACCAGTCGACTGTGTTTCATAGATTTAATTTCGTGATGATCAGTAAATCTTTGTCATCGTTTCGGGCTCGCTTGCCGAACAAGTCGTTTCACAAGTGTTCAACTGTTCGAACGTTGTCCAAATCTTTGTCTTCTGCGCATCGATCGCATCCCATGCTGACTGGGAGGTAGACTACTGCGTTAGACTACTGCGTTAGACTACTGCGTTAAACTGATGATGTTCCACCATGAAGACGATTTGTTGCAATAACCGCACCACCAACCTCATTCGATCGCGAAAATGGAGATACTGATTGGTAAGCATACGATCCGAAAATGATTTGGTCTTTCGTCAACATGTGCCGAACGCCAATAAGCTCGTTTAAATAAAAAGTTTCAATCGAGCGAAATACCATATTCGCCTAAACAATTATATCACCAGGCCAAAATTGTATCCGAAGTTCGAAAGGAAATTGGGCTTTGATTAGAGAGAAATTGAGAAAGTCTCAGTTGCTGTTTTGTGAATCACCTTCCGTCACTATATAGTCACATTCGGTTTAATTTTGAAGACAAAACTGCGTGGGTATTTGTCACTGTCAATGAAACAGTCTTGCTTTTTCCAAACAAAGCCTCTGCTCTTTCTGTTAATAGAAAATCCTTTCGATGAACGAGCGTTTTGCAATAATAAATATGCCAGTGAGAAAACTCCTACTTTCATAAGAACTTCCAAAGTTTGAACTAAACCTTCTCTAGTCTCAATAGAGCCAAACCTCATCTCAAAAGCTTTGTTTTGTCACTTGGAACCATTTCCTCGCCATCAGCTCTAAAGTGTCCACATAATGCTATTGTTTAAACGCTGACAGTTTCCTTCATTTTGTAAAACCGATAGAAGTTTGAAAAGTAATTTAATCTTGTAAAATTGTTCCAGGTCTGATTTGTCAAAATGAGATATTATGTTATTTAAACATGAAACGAGAGTGAAATAAAATGGTAATTCTGCGTTTAAACACTGTTGTCCTCACTCTTGACACCACAACTGTGCGTTATAAGTGCGCAATATCTTAGAAAGTAAAAAAAAGCTTTCAGCGCAATCCCTGCAGGATTAAAATGTGAAACACGATGGAGCCATTTTAATCGTAAACGAGAGCCGTCACGACGCCTATCATAGTCCGTGGTGGAATCCAAAAGCCAGCACGTTGACATGTCTGTCACGGCCTGTGACACTGGAGAATTTCTTTCGCCTGTTTGTCATGGTTCCCCACGCTGCAGAATTTTTTTCCACATGTCTATCACGGTATGTGACACTACAGGGATTTTTTCGAACTGTCTGTCACGGCCTGTGATGCTGGAGAATTTGTTTCCACATGTCTGTCATGCTCTGTGAAGGAGGCAGGGGGAGTGGGGTATCATTTTTCTCGCTGTATGCTTCAAAACTCTTTAACAGTCGTGTTTCACAAAGCGTGTTTAAGCGTTAAAAAAAACACTTGTTTCAGCAGAAACATTCTGTTTTTACAACGTGAGATATACGACTCAAATCCGTTAAAATCCCAGACAGGATAGTAAACGCATTTAAACGGCATTTTTGGCGTTTGTGGAGTGCCTCGGTATCAATGAATCAATGCATGAGTGCGTCAATCCATATGATTATCATTCAATCGAACCATTTGGTATCGTCTCCACGATATTACCATCAATTCTCTTGGCTATTACACGGACAATGTTGGCTATTATTATTACCTAGGGTGTACCAAAAGTTCGCATCACGGCGTTCAAAGGACCTTGTCGGATGAGATGACCTATTCAGAAATAAGAAACAAATATATTATGTTGTAGAGTTTTTGAGGCGCATCGAGTGGTATATAGTAAATCCTGTTTTCATAGAATTTTGAAGGACTTAGAGTTAATTTACTGACAGACAACTACACATTCGTACCCATCCATATGCGCACCCATACCCAAAGACGATGAGTTAATGATTATTGTGGTTCTTGTTATTAATTGAAAGCATTTGTAAAATATTGTTTCTCGCATGCGATTTTGTAGAGTTTTTGACGGGCTACAACCTCATATACGTACCATCTCCGGTCATCTTGTGAATGTGAATGTGAGTATGGATGGGTGTGAATGTGTAGCCGTGTATCAGTAAATTGACATTAGGTTCTTCAAAGTTCTATGAAAACAGGATTTACTATATACCATCCGATGCGCCTCGAAAAGCTCTACAAGATGATATATTTGTTTCTTATTTCTGAATAGGTCGCCTCATCCGACAAGGTCCTTTAAACACAGTGATACGAACTTTTGGTACGCCCTAAGTATTATCATACAGGAACTGGAATATACGAAGGACGTTCAAAACGTTTCCGGACTGGTTTATTATAAAACAATAAGAAGCATTATTGTTCATAGTTTTTATTCTATGTGTCGTTGGAACAGTGCTGCATCTATTGATATGATAATCATTAACCAATGAAATACCTATGCCCGAATATAACGATTTTTGTTAGTGCACCCTTTTTACACTGATGGAAAATTGAAAGCTTGAGCATCGCTCGGTAATAAAGTTTCTTGTTTTGGAAGGACAATCTCCAACCAATATTTATGAACGTATGATGGCAGTTTATGGTGATAATGCTCCATCACGTACAACAGTTTTTTATTGGGTTCGTCGTTTTAAAGACAGACAGTTAAGTATTGAAAATGATCCTAGATGTGGTCGACCAATTACTGCAACAGACGATCAAACTATTGCAGATGTTGAAAGTCTAATAATTGAAGATCGTCGAATTACAATTCAGCAAATAGCAGACATCCTAAGTATTTCAACTGGTACAGTACACGGTATTATACATGATCATTTACATATGACAAAAGTTTCTTCGAGATGGGTACCACATTTACTAACACCTGATCAAAGACACGAACGTGTTCAAGCTTGTCAAGAACTTTTGACTCGCTATTCAACTGCGGGTGATGATTTCCTGTTTCGAATTATAATTGGTGATGAATCGTTTCTTTATTATTATCAACTTGATTCAAAAAAATCATCAAAACAATGGAAACGAGCTGATTCACCACCACCAACAAAAGGCAAGCAAGAGAAGTCGGTGAACAAAGTTTTGTATTCCTCTTTTTGGGACTACAAAGGAATAATTCTCAAAATACCTGTGCCAGCAGGTGTAACAATAACGAAGGAATATTATGCAAATATTTTATCAAATCAACTTGATCCAGAAATTAAAAAACAATGACGAGGTTTAATTTCCGCTGGTGTCATCCTACATCATGATAACGCACCAGCACATACATCATATCTTGTATCCTCTACTATTCACAATTTACGACACGAATTGCTTCGGCATCCACCTTATTCTCCAGATCTAGCACCCAGTGATTATTTTTTGTTTCCTATTTTAAAAGATTATCTCAAAGAAAGACATTACAATGATCGAAGTTCATTAGGATCATCAACATACCAGTGTCTGAACAGTATGTCTAAAGATGACTTTACAGCTGCTATACAAAAACTTCCAGAACGTTGGCAAAAGTGTATTTCTGTAGTGGGACGATACCTCGAGAAAGAGCACATACATTAATAATTGTAACGTTTTTTGTTGTTTTATAATAAACGTAATCCGAGAACTTTTTGAACGTGCTACCTACAAGCTTCATTCTCGTACCATCAATTAGAGCATAAAAGTTTACGTCTATGTTTATTGTTTGGCTATCATCTAAGAAAGTTTTGTGAGAACTTCAGCAGATAGAGACCAGAGCTCCACAGAATGCGGGACCAATCCTGTCACGTCTCGTTCTGCGACAGGACGGGATGCAGGAGGGGCGGGAATGCAGAATGATCCCATCCTATGCCGCCCATGGGCGTGATAGAAATAATAATCATTAACTTACTCTTCGAAGTTGAGTGTGAGTGTGAGTGAGTCTATATTTCATACACACCCACACACCTGCACCAGCCGATCAACATGATATACAAACCTATTATCATTGTATTGAAATTATTTGTCCAAATTTGAAAGTCTTTATTTTAGAAGCAAAACTGATCATTGAATATTAACTAATATTTTAAATTGATATTTTTCACTTTATTTGATGTTCTAATTGTAATTATATCTTCACAACTTGTTTAAAATACTGAATAGTCAGAACGAGCATCAATCTCACTATAACTAGCGTAGGAATCTTTTCTTCACTCCCGTTGACACCCAAAAATCTTCGTTTAAAAGATAGGTCTTTCATACAGAATTGTCATCGAGCATATTCGATAAATCAATCAACAGAAAAAGCAACACAGTAGAAATACAAAATGACACATTGTTGACATGATAAGCATGAGATTCGCTAGTGAAATTTCTTCTCGTCAGCAGAGAACTAGTGCCATTTCTCATCGAAAATAGTCAATAGATGCGTAGTTACTGTTGTTGCCCAATCAATGTCGATCATATCTACTCATTAATATCTGTAAATCCGAGAAAGACACTAATGATTTCTCACATTATATAAATCAAAATAGTTTTCGATCGTAACTTTTGTGTCATCAGATGAAAAATTCTGTCTTAATGACTTACAGTATTCTATGTTTGATATGTGTCTTACCAACCGGGTGTAATGCCTTGATTGTTGTACGAGAATTGGTTCTAAACCATGACATTCTACTCAGTATTGACACAGTGATAGGTTGTTTGTAGAGACAGAAGATAAATTTACTATTTTTCATCGAATTTTATTTTCGAAACGAAATAATCTTTAGTGATACAATTGAATAACGTATGATGCAAAAGTTATGGAACAAATGTGGGGCCCTATTTCTCTTCGATATAATGGTGCTTGAAGAAATGTTTTTTTCAAAAGATGGAGCTTTTTCTCCTCTTTCGTATCGCATATAACTTATTTTTATAACACGTTCATAAATGAAACGATGCAACAGAAAAGAGAAGCACCCCTAAAAAAGAATCCGCACTTGTTATATAAAATGATCGCATAAAATGTCGATCCTTATATCTTTTCGATAAATAGGTTCTGAAAAGAATATTTTTTTATTAGTTAATAGAAAATTTTCTCCTCTATCGAACAGTGTATGATTTATATTTGTTGGACATTCGTAAATGAAATACGACAACAAAAAAAAAGAGAAACACTAGCGTAATAAATTCGTAATTTGTATATAAATTCATCAAAAACATCTTGTAAAACGACAATTAATTGTTAGTAACTGTTATTTTACATGATGTTTTTAACGAGTTCATAAAAATCGAAGTAACCACCGTTTTACAAGGTCTTTTTAATGAATCCATAAAAATCGAATTAATTGTTGTGTAACAAGATGTTTTTGACTAATTCATCTAAAAATTACGAAGTTATCAAGCTGGTGTTTCTCTTTTTTTCTTGTCTCATTTCATTTACGAATGTCTGACAAATATAAATCATATACTGTTAGATAGAGGAGAAAATTTCCTACCAACTGATAAAAAAAAAATATTCCTTTCAGGAACTATTTATCGAAAAGATATAGGGATCAACATTTTGTGCCATTTTTCTGAATCTCACAAAAAGCGTGTATTCTTTTTAAGGGTGCTTCTATTTTCTATCATGTCGTTTCACATATGAACGTGCTAGAAAAATAAGTTATATACGATTCAAAAGAGGAGAAAAAGCTCTATCTTCTGGTAAGAATCATTTCTTCTAGCGCCCTTCTATTGAAGAGAAATAGGGCCCGACATGTGTCTCATTACTTTTGGATCATACGTTATGTTTATGACACAGTGAGTATTCATAGATTCGACAGTCGATCGTATGGTTCGATGATTGATCATCGACATAAAACACATTCTCTTTGAGACTGACATACATGACAAAGCAAATTCGGAAAAGGAAGACCGATTCTAATTCAAACGTATGTAACTAGGATGTGAGTGGGTGTGGGGTGAGTGTAGGCGCGGGTGAAGAGAAGTTCCACACCCACACCCTCAATGGAAATCCGGCAATTGCATTCCGGCCAGAAAGAGGCAATGAAGAAAATTCCAGAATTCTCTGGCGAATCGAATGGTATTGGCATAGATGAATGGCCAAGGTGGAACAGCGGATACCGGGACTCCAGGACTCCACAAGACTCCATGGGACTCTAAATGTGTCTGGAGTCCTGGGGTCCCTGCTAACTGATTCATGCGTTTTTTTTCGAATATTATTATTAACGGCCAGTGTTGCCACCTTTTGAAGTCCAAAAAGCAGAAAATAGTTTATA